AAGTTTAACGGCAGGTCGGGTTAAAATTTATTCGGAAATTGTAAAATTTTTTGCAAACCGAATTATACCCTTCCTTCGAGTATAAAATTGGAAGAAGACGTCATTTCCTACTGAATGAGCAAGATAATGGATATTTTTATGCATGTTTTCCGTGAAATATAATTTACACAGAGAGAAACGACTATTATGGAGACAGTTCGAGTCTTCGCTTCTGTATTTCTGTCTCTTCACACTTAAGATAGCGCGCCAGGAATGGCAATATTGAATGTTGATGTGCCGAGGTACGAGAAGAGATATGCCGAAAGCCACGGTGCATGGGACGGGAAGACTTCACAAAGATTAGATAAGAATGTAGGGGATGGGCAACGTCATCCAGAATTCGACCAGCTCTTCCACTCATTAGCTCTAAATTTTGACTCCGGTGTGTAAACGATACACGCATGGCTAAAAAGGATCAATCAGATACTCTCCACGACGCAATTAATTCAACAATTCCGGGAATAAATTTCACACTGGAAAAGGAAGTCGCCTGTAAACTCCCATTTCGGATGTTCTCGTAAAGGAAAAGGCTGACGGAACATCATACATTTCTGTTTACCGGAAAGCAACTCATTCGGAAGTAGTTCTACCCTATGAGAACAAGAACTCAATCTTTCACTAACGCAGCACTGTCAGCAACTTGCTTCACTGAGCAAAAGCACGCCGCTCCGACGAAGAAAGCTACTTGGATTATTTTCTCCAACTGGTTACCCTAGAGATTTTGCACGTCGATGCATGAGAAAACAGGAGTCACGGGACAAAGAGCTAGATAGTTCAGCGTTGGCGCCCAAAAAATACTTGGTAAACCCTCCCTTACACTAATTAAATGCCTGAACTCGTTAAAAGACACCTTTAGAAAACACCAAATGCAAATGGCGCACAAGCAGACGAATACGCTAGGCAGTCAGTTTCTACCCCCTAAGGGTGGGATTGACTTTCTGCCTAAGAAGGTACCCGTCTATTGGATCCCCTGCTAGGCATGCGATGACGTATATTGGGGCCAAACTGGAAAGTCTGACTCCAGTTTAACTTAAAAGAGGCGAGACCGTCTTTCTCAAATGGTCGTGCATACACTAGATACTGGGCACAATTTTGCATGGGCAAGACTCGCATCGTCCGGTGTCAGCCCTGCCAAAAAGGCTGATAATCTCTTGAAGCCATGCACTCAGATGAGTCATGCGTTAATCGGCATATTGGGTTGAGCGACAAGCACAAGAATCTCAGGGGAAAACGGGAGAGACAAAACGCGATCGATACACAACATCGTATGCGGCAAAGTTTGCTAGTAGAAACGCCGGATAAGCACTAATTTTTGGCACGTCTGAAATCTTGATCGTTTTTGTACATTTACTTAAGTCTGACGACGACCCGGGGAACCGAGGTCGAAAATTAACCAATAAAAATCTTTCCCAATCTAAATGTATATGCACATATATATAGCGTGAATAATAATACCGACAAAGACAAGAGAGACTTGAATAGCCATTTCTGGCTCATAAGCCGGTCAGCTAGTCATAGCCAAGCCCAAAGTGTGGAACACCTGGGGCTCGATCCCACGACCTGCTGGTTAGACGTCCAACGCCTCTCACCACTGAGCCACAGGCTCAGTGAAGGAAGAAGGTAAGGCGATCTCTGGGGCGGAAGATTTAATCATCTGACGTTCTGTACCCGTACTAGAGCACATTGTCGAGGACAGACAAAATGAGAAATACGTGGCTGACGCAGGTAATTCATGCTCGCATCCGATAGGTCGACCCCTCTCTTCCTATTGGCTCTCCTCTTGTGCGCAAGTGGTGCTTGACGACCTCGTATGCGCTTGTAGGTCGATACCGCGGCTGATCGAGTTGGCGTCTGATCGCCTAGCTTTGATTACTTTCCTCGCCAATTTGCTTACGGCTCTGATAATGGATTCAAGTGAAAGTCTGAAACGTCAGGCCAAAAATGCCCTTGTTCGTGCGGTCGTGTCTCCTCCTTCCTAAGCCCACTTCTGCCACTGACCCTAACCCTACTAATCCTAACTCAAACCCGCCTGGAATTTGGAACATAAACATTTGCAGAACGGGGGTTCGTATTCCTGTACCCAGCACCCAGACTTTGACATTGATCATGAGCAAGGTTTTGGACGTGCGCCAGGATTAAGTGGTCAAAGGTACGGCTGGACGCCAAAGACAAACCAGTGCCCAGCGTTCTCATCCCAGAGACACCTACGCCTTAAGCATAGGAGGGTAGACCTATGAGCAGTTCGCCGCCAAAAACCTTGAACGCATGGAACTCCAGAATGGAACACAAGCAGGGAAGAAGGCTGTCTGTCCTTCTTCTTCTTCTTCTTCTTCCTCCTCCTCCTCCTCTTCCTCTTCCTTTTCCTCTTCCTCTTCCTCTTCTTCTTCTTCTTCTTCTTCTTTTCTTCTTCTTCCTCTTCTTCTTCTTCCGTACCCATGCATGCACGTGGAATAAGAAAATTCGTCCAAATTCGTGAAACACAAGCGAACAACTCTCGAGGCACAGTGTGCAATTCGGGTACAGGTGTCAGTAAGTGGGTTGAGCTTAAAAGCCCTTACATAAGGCGGTCAGAAGTGTCGCTAAAAGGGCAATTTGCAGACCTGACTCGAACACCTGACAATCAATCCTGCGACCTGGGAAAGTGCCGTATAGGATTGGCAGACGCGGTGAAACGGCGAGAACCTTGAAGCATACATTCTCGAAGTCAATCGAACGGCGGCGGCGGCGACGTTTGCAGGACTCAAAGGCGCGGACAAATGGCGGAAACACCCAACACTCTCCATCGCGTTCACACTGTCCACCGACGCTCAGTGGGCGAATAGATCTTGTTGGAGATAACTTGGCTCAGAGCAGTGTCAAGAGAACTAACCCACCTCCCATCCAAGAAAACACCCCCATCGCCACTACCACCACAACAATCAGCAAGGACATACAGGCCACTCTTTATTGCCACCGCCCATTTAACCAGACACGTGGAATTAGTTCCAACTTGTACCAATTTCAATCACACTTTTAATCACAGTATACACAAACGCCTTAAGGTCACACGCTATTTTTCCGAAACTGCGTCTGACCGGACCTGTACTAAGGATGACGTAATTCTGCCTTTATCTACAGTTATCCACAGAAGATCGTCGTGCGCTTGAGGCTGGTAGCTTCCTTAAGGACGAACGCCCTGTGTTTTTGTCTCGCTAACTATCCTCAGAAACCCATCTATTAGTGACGACATCGCCATAGAAAAGTCGCTGGGACAGGCGCTTCCCATTCATCCTCACGACTTGGCCGCTCTGTTGCAACATATGCATGGCGTGATATAGGGGACATCGGGTGTTTGCAGGATTTTCATGTCTTCTCATTACGAGCTGACCCGATCGGTGACACGGTCCTCTGCACTTTTTCTCCTTTCACTCAAAGTTACGAGAGGAACCCAACCCACACATGCCGCATTCACGAGTATCCTTAAAAAAACACAACTTTACGAGAGGAGCCTGCTCTGTTTGAAACCCGTTCCAGTGGATTGCCGGGGTCATTGGGAGTAATCTACTTACGTACTTTAACATGCCTTTTTCTTGGATGCGAAGACGAGGAACCCCCCGTCCCCTCCGGATGTCGCTTTCGTGACATCTGCGGAGTAGAAACCGGGAGTAATTATTGTCGGCTGGTTCGATTGCATTTGGCAAGTGACCAGTTGACAGAGAAAGTGCCCTTATTGTGTCCAGACTTTCAGACGCAGAATAGTGGCTTCGCAGGTAGTTGCAAAACGTCCCAAAACTGTCCTTGACGGCAGCTAACATCAAGGCAAAAAACGTCGCGAGCCAAGCAAAAGCGGCCGAAGGATAAAATCATTGCTTTTGTCTCACTCATCATCCTGCAAAGAATTTGACCCAGCGAACAATTGCAGTATATCCATCAAGTATAATGTAACGTATATCGAGGCCGAACAACTTCAACGACAGAACGCACGAACGACGACATGCTAGATTTGAGTAGTGAGGAGGCAAGTATCATTTTGTAGTACCCAGTTTAATGAACTTGTGGCTGGCAGCCATCATTACCGGCCTGGCGTCATTTTTCAAAACCTCGCTGCTTCAAGGTCATTCACCCTTTGGCAATGAGTTGTTCCAGACATTCTGACCTGAAGTCACACGACCGACAGCTCAGGCATACCTGTGTCCGCACAGCCGCAGCTGCCCATGAGGCCAGTTGAACGCACTGCCCCCCCCTCTGCAACCACAACCTAAGCCATTGGGACAACACCCCTCGGCAAATGCAACACACACTGACTGGACACCTTTTGAGCTTGGCCCACGAGCCTACAAAAGCGTCTGCCGCCACTGTCCCAAGAACTCTCAGGCCTGACTGGACGCAGTCAATACTAGCCCTGACTTCGCCAGTGGTCACTGCCGCCTGAGAGGACAACTGTGATTTCTGTATGCATTAAACGCCAAATTCTGGTGCCTACTGTCTTCTCCTTCCAATCTGGGATTTGACTTGGTGGTTGTAGCGCTTAGAGCACTTACACTCGACACCTAGCCGCTAAAAACTTGACGCTTCGTGTTCGGGTCCCAACTTCTCGTCGGAAATGACACGATGCTTAAAGCGAGATATGGGGAGTGATGAATTGCACTTGGCTCACTAATAGCTGGGCCTCTTGGATAGTCAACTTACGCACATATATATATATATACATGCAAATAGAAGCGAAGATTCGAGTCCCCAGACATAAATGAGAAGAAGAGGCGATCTCGGGAATCATGGTTTTATTGTCCTGACGTTTCAAAAGCAGACAAGCTTCCATCGTAGAAGATGAGCAGCGTATGGCGTCACGCAATATTTATACGGGGAGGGATGACAGTCAACTTAACACGGTGCTAATTATACGGGGGAGTCGTTAATCGGCTTTGGCGCTCGTTGCCCGCATATGCGCAGGGATCGTCTCTGTAGGGAGAGGATGACTGCTGTCAATCTGTCTGCCTCTCGTCGGTGGGCGGCGTTTGAGTATTGGTGAACGTGTCCCGCATTCGCGTTGACCTTAGTTGCCGTCCTGGGTCGCTGGTCTTGATTACATCCCTCTGACCGCATTTCTCCCCATCTGCCCGAATAGTAGTTGAGGCAGCAGTACTGATGACTACGCCTTCGTTGTACGCAAATTGCCGTGTGGCTACTTGCGGGTCCGTCATAGGTTCTCCCGTGTTTGGATTCACGTCTGGTCTAACATCGCGCTTGCTCTTTCGTTCGTTAAACTGCGTACGGAGGGCCTGGTAGGCTTCCGGAAAGGCGACACAACGGTTTATTCGGGTAGTCTCCGTGTGCCAGGCCTCGATCGTTTCCCTGGCTACGCGGTCATGGCCTAGACCCAGAATTTCGGGGGTCTGGAGGGCAAAAGTGTGTCCGGAGTCTGTGCAGTGTTCCACCCGCAGAGTCAATGGGCCCATCATGTGTTCGTGAACACCGGTTTGTAATTGTTTGTCGGTCTCTCCGGTATAGTTAGCTTCACAAGAGTTACACCGGAGCCGGTAGATGACGTTTGTTGTCTGACCTCGTGGCAGGGGGTCTTAGGTCTCATAACTAGATGTCGAATGGTTGAGTCCGGCCGATGGGCGATTCCGATCCCCAAGGGTCTTAGCAGGCGGGAGATTGCCTCAGAGACGCCATCAATGCACGGCAGTGCATGCCCCTTTAGGCTGTTCTGTCGCTGGACTTTGGCTTGGTTTAGACCGCCTGCTGCGCTTGATGAAGTTACGGGAGTATCCCTTGGCCATGAAAAGGCGCTGAAGGTAGCGGAGTACTGTCCTTCTGCCATCCGGGTCGCTGCTGTTCGTTCCTACCCTACTGTAGTGTATTCGCACACAGCTGCGTTCGTGACGCATTGGGTGCGTACAGTGATAGCTTAGGATTTGACGTGTGTTTGTGACCTTTCAATACACCGTTGCTTTTATCTGCCCGTTGGGTTTTCGATGGACAAAGGCATCCAGTAACGGCAGCTGGTTGTTGTTTTCCGTCTTCATTATGAATTAAACATCCCGTATTAACATGGCTGGCATCCCTCCCACAATAAACGCTGCGTGAAGGCGTGCGATAATCATCTCCAACGATGAAAGCTTGCTTGATTTTGAAACGTCTGGACAATACAACCATGGTTCCCGAGATCGCCTCTGTCTCTCATATATATACGTACGTTATCGGCTCCGACAGCAGACCGATGCACGGAAGGAGCAAAATGGAGTAAATTTCACCCTGGGGACTCCATTCCCACGGCACAGCAGCGCATTTCCCGCCAAAATAAATCGGATGCACTTCGAAGCCATCGCGATGCGTTAGAAGTCCTGTATTGAAGGGCTGCCGGCTGACGGGATATCTCGGTCTTTGTGATCAGTATTATGTGCATGCGGGCTAAGTTGTCCGATAATCACGAGTCAGGCTCACTGACCCTTCTTAATGCGGCCTCCATGGTATTTTAACTCAGATGGGACCCGAGTCACCATCTTTGTTCTCAGAAGACCTGGTACAGTGCGTGACCGATCTCATGAAATGCTGGTCGAAATTCTGAAATGCATCTTCGATTAGGAAGGACTATTTAGGTGGGTTGTAATATTGGTTTGCATGCAGCATAATCCTATAGCATTTCGGACTCAACAGGATGTCGGCTTTTGGATGCACTCGGTTTTGACCTCCTGAAGAAACCGTCCTCTGCAAAAAATGACTACTTGAGTAGCATGCATTTTTCGTATTGATTTTTGATGGTCTTGCGAATTCAAGTTTATTTATTAGAGAACGTGCAAAAAATATGCCTTATTTTACTCGTTCGGTAGAAAATCGTACTTTCTTCATATTTTATACCCGAAGCAGGTGTATACTTAGGTTTTAAAAGGCTTCTTATTGTGAGATTTCCAAGACCGTGCCATGTCCATATATAGAGCATCCTACATGTCCGTTTACCAAGGCTTTTTATGAAATGCACAACACAGTCCGGATCCATTGCAAAATTTTATGAACTCCACATGGTATTTTCTTAAAGGCAAAGAGAAACACATGATTTTCTTTACGCGGAGGGCATACACCTTGTAAACTGAAATCGTTAAACGCTAATGCAATGGCAGATCTGGCTCAAAATTATTCGGGAATTGGAAAACTTGTTTAAAACCTAAATATACACCTGATTCGGTCATAATACATGAAGCCAGTGTAATTTTCTACCGAATCAATAAAAGAAGGCACATTTTTGTGCACGTTCTGTATTAAATAAATTTGAATTCGCAAGACCATCAAAAATCAATACGAAAAATGCATGCTACTCAAGTAGTCATTTTTTGCAGATCGTGGTTTCTGCAGAAGGCCAAAAAGGAGTGCATTCAAAAGCCGACATCCTGATGAGTCCGAAATGCTATAGGATTATGCTGCATGCTTATCAATATTACAACCCACATAAGTAATCCTTCCTAATCGACAACGCATTTCAGAATTTAGGCTAACATTGCATGAGATCGGTCACGCACTGTACGTGTCTGGGAAACGTGCAGACGGGCTGCAAAGCCTTGTCAGCCACTTGTGTCGCTGTTTTAGGACTCATCTCGTGGTCAATCGTCAACCAATGCAGTCTCTGAAAGGAGAAATGTGGACCTTTTTTGCTTTTCCAACGCTTATCTTGATATTTCTAAACAAAGCAACATTACCTTTTACATTTCTTTTGTGCTCCTAATTCCCTTAAAGTTGTGATTAATTAAAATTGATATTGGGTCCATGCCTTGGTGTCCGTTTGCGCGTGATAAGAAGTCAATCGAATAATTTCGACATCTTTCATGCGTAAGGTCACATACTGTATGTTAATCGCAGGATAACAAACCACAGCGGTCTTGTTAAATGGAGTACCTTGCCTACAACTCAGTAAGGTCGCCAACTCCGGCGTCGATAGCAATTATGGGGCCTTAAGTCCGTGTTAAATGTCGAGGGAACGAGAACGTCCACTTGCGAGTTCAGATGCACCGCCAATTGACAGTATTGGTAGCCTGCGTTCAGCAAGCCCGGTTTAGGTTTGCAGAGGGGACTACTTTCTCTCACAACAGCTACAATTTTCGTTTAAGTGGTATGAAACCACGTGTGTGGATATTTTCTCGTTAGACAAAGTCAAGAACATCAGCGAGCTATGATCTAACACCCCACACTTAATTTTCCATCTTAGATATTAGACCTGTCTTCGGCAAGGATTATAGGTTCTCCTACAAAGGGCATCTACGTCTCGTCTGTTGCCTTCGTTTGATTGAGGAGTCGGTACTCCATTCCTACAGTCATGTTGACGGGTTTTGCAGCAGCTGTTTTGAATGAGGTCTCATACCGTAACACCCATACTTGTTCTTTAGTCGTTTCCCTCGACGACAAGTAGTGTGCCAGTCTGTCGTCCTCAGACGATGGTTGTCTAGGCATCTGGCGAAACATATTATTTAATGTCGCGTCGCGTATGGCTTTCGTTTCGCAGGCTCTCGCATTAGGATTGTGTTCTTATCGCTTACAATGCTGGACGGAAGACATCGCTCCCTTCCATGCAGGCAAGTTTCTGGTGCGACATGTCACAGACCGCCTGTGCGCACTAATGCGCGTTTCGGTAATAAGGGACATTAATTTAAACGTCAGATGCGGCGTAAGTCCACTCTCTTTAAATAGAGCCCAAACTTGTCGAGCATCGACACTGACAGCGAAGCACTACTCTTCACTGTAGACTAACTTTAGTTCGGTGCAGTCGATGGTATGGTCATATCAGGGTTACGACTTCCATAGCCCCCCAGAGGGCTGTGCGACTGATCAAGTCTGACGTTTCAGCAAAATTGAGGCAACAGACAATCTTTCAGAAATGGTGTCGCTGATTTAGGATTCATCTCGTGGTCAATCGTCAACCAATGCAGTCTCTGGAAGGAGAAAAGCGAACCTTTTCTAACTTTTCCGACGCTTGCCTGGCGGATCAAAATCGGTTCAAGAGAAAACTTGCGGAAATCACTGTAGTGATATCGATTACGCCGACGGCTCTGTGGTCTTGATGTTGTTTCGTCCTTGTTTCTGTATAAGGAGAAAAAGGACGGCATGACTCACATTCTGTTGTACACTCATTGTTACATGCTCACAGAAACATCATTCTCAACCGCTCAAAAATTGCATCAAGCCAGCTCCTCTAGACTTCAGCTGACAGCCCATCATCACCCGTGTCATCGGAACCGACGGTCGAACTGTGTGTATGTTAACAGTAGTATAGAACCCCATCTTAAACTTCGATTTTTAAGGGGAAAAGACAATGCAAATTAAAGTAAGCGCCTTTCTACTCCGGCGAAAGATATGCAAGAAAATAAGCATCAGGGGGTATTTACCTGTCCTTGGGCAAAACCAACTAATCACAGCCGAAATGCGAAAATAGAAAAAATGTATACACATTAATAAATGTGTCCTAAAAAGAGGAATTCCAGAAAAGGACCAACACAATTCTCACCACATAAATCTCTGCATAACGGAAGGTTGCGAATCCCAGACGAAGGGTCTATATAAAAAGACGTATACTGTGACAGCATTGACTGCTACATTTAAGAGCACCTCCGAGGCAGCAGTCAGTAATGCAGCTGGAGAAGCCGCTGCGTGCGGCGCAGTCATCAGACGCCAGACCACAAAAGGCACAATGAAGTAGCGGCATTCAATTAGGGGAGAGGGAATGAGGCAGGCGGCGGTGCAGACTAGGAAGATGGCAAGCCGAAGCAGAGCCAACAGGCGACAGGGCGCGGCCTCGGTCATTACAGCCACTGCCGTCTCCATCGTCGGAAAGAAAGTGGAGGCCACATACAGTGCGGCCAACGCATAGAGTGGAGTCAGGATATAGCGAAAGGCTGCATAGCGTTTAAACAACCTCTGCCACACGTAGAAGGTGTAATGGCGATTATCCGCGAGGATGTACTTGTGCGCCACAGTGCAACAGTGTACCGAGGCTACAGACAGCGCCGTCAAGGAGAAAAGTAGAAGCAGCAGGAGGAGCAGCCCACGGCGACTGTGGAACGACCGCGACAAGCGGAGGAGAAAGAGGAGGAAACGAAGGGGCGTATGTGCAGCACAAAAGGCCAGAAAGTATAGTAGTTGAGGGATATGGAGGGTGAACTCGTGGGAACTGCGGTCTCCCAATACAATGCCCCCATTCCACCACAAGAAAGCCATGAATAGGCCCCCCAGTAGTGTGAGTAGGGGTGCATCGTAGACGATGCTCTGGAAAACAGCTTGCACCACTTTGACTGGCGAGCGGAGGAGGACAAGGAGCCAACCGAAGGCAGAACGTTTGGTCGGGCTGCCGCGGTCCCTGAGGAGGGAGGACAATCTAAGAGCAGTAGCCATGCCCACAAGGAAGGCGCACCAGACAATGTTGGTCTGCCGCACAGAACAGGCAAAACAGGCCAGGAAAAAAGCCGTCCAAGGGTGTTTGGAGAGGAAGGCCAAGGCAGTTGCAAGAACAGCCGCGAGCGAGAGCTGGTCAGTGTAAAACAAGAAGGAGGTGAAGAAGAGTACTGGCAGTGTGACTGTGCTGATTATGTAGAGGAGGTGGAGAGGCAGGGGCAAACGACAAAGACGCGACATGATACTGGACACGAGGAATGCATTCACACCCAGATGGAGCGCATTGAGGTGACGAAAATGCGTGACAGAGAGGTTTTGTCCAGTATTATTGCCAAGGAAGATTTCCTGTGGTTTCAAAATGACGGCGGTAAGAAGGTAGAGGCCAGGTGGAGTGGTTATGTTAGGATCCCATTCGGACCAACGGCCGGCTAGGTACGCCTGGGTCTGCTTCTCGTGGAAGTACTCGTCCATATACGCGGCCGGTTGCACTTCATTGGTCAAGTGCACGAGGTAGAAGGCGATTAAGGCATGCAGTAGGCCCAAGAACAGGTCAATAAAATGGCGCTTCATAGTCCGGCTATGGAGGAAAGTTGATTTCTAAATTTCAAAAAAGTCACGTCTGAGAAAGTGGACAGAGATAACGCATAGCCTTTTAATTTTTCAGTGTTGAGACGGAAAAATAGTGTCAATTTTTTTACGGAAGCAAAAAATTTCTATTGCTATTTGACCTTATGCAGAAAGGACCAGCACTAGTACTTGACTTTGGCCAATGATTTGGAACTTACTGGAATTTTGCATACGAAAAGCTGTAGTTCGTTTTTGAACGAGGTTGGAAGCGACTTAATTCGGGCCGCACACAAAGGTTGTTTGGCTAATAGGGTATTAGTAAATGGCTGAAAATTAGCGCATATTCCCTTCGTCGTAAACTGGAGCAGTTCATACACCAGGGCAAAAAATACAAACGCAAATGCATACAACGAAAAATTATCCGAATTCACGAAGGGAGCTTCTACTTTCGAAGAAAAGCTTGTCAGTTAGAGTAGTCCTTCGATAGGATTATCTAACCTGGCAAATTACAATAGACAAGCGCAGCAGACTGGCAAACGTTTGATGCCACAGGCGACGGGGATCATCACTTTCCCCAAGAGGTGAATGTAACCGCGGCCCGCGCCCAAATTATTTTATACAGAAGCAGACTTATGGAGCACCTACGTCCTTCCACACAGCGAACAAACAAAGCGCAAATAGGTTGGAGCGACGAAGGTTGGATGAGCACCTCACCCCGACTACGTAACATCCTGTTGCCTGTACGGTTGGATATTCCATTATGAGTCAGCACAGGCAATCCAAAAAGATTCGGCGGAGCACTTTGGGTGACGAACTGTGATCTTGGAGCCACACCGCCCTTATCACTGGCAGGCTGCAGACACAAGATGCTTTCCATTTGGAAAAGGAAACAGACAGACAGTCAGCGGATGATGACGACTGAAGAAAAACGTGGGGGACCGTGTCATTCCGTGCGAAACTCTCTAGCTATTCCAAAAAGTACAAGCTCTCTCTCTCTAGTATAGTGTATATACATAAATGCACGGTACATGTGTTAACTCCTGAAACGCTAACCCAAATGCTGAAATGTGTCTTCGACTCGAAGACACTACTTAAGTGGGATTGTAATATTAATCACATTGCCACATAATCCTAAGATATTTCAGGGACTTTAGGATACCATCTTTTGGACGAGCTTCTATCCGGCCGCCCACAAAAGCTACACGGTAAAAATGACTGCTTAAGTAGTATGCACTTTCTCATGCTTTCATAGAAGGCATGCATAAAATCTCCATTCCTTTACTCATTTGGTAGAAAATTACTTCTACAAACTTTTATACTTGAAGAATAACTACAATACGATTTCAAAAAAGTTTCTAACTACGAGATTTCATAAAACATGGCGTCTCAGCACCAACTAATGTTGCTTGTAAAGTCGACAATATGGCCTAAATCTACTCCTAAATTTTATGAACCCCATACGGTCTCCTCTTAATAGCGTATAGGAATGAATGATTAACAGTACACAGAAAATATATAGCCTGGAGTTTGGAAACCCTGAATGCGATTGTGACGGCGGGTCAGGTTTGAAATTATTCAGGAATTGAAAAGGCTTTCTAAAACCGAAAGATGCACTTCCTTCCCATTTAAAATTTGAAGATGTAACTTTCTACCAAACTAGTGAAAGAATAATTATTTTTATGCATGGTTTTTATGAAATGTAATTGGAGTTTTAAGGATACCGAAAATCAACGATAAAGTTCATACTACTTAAGCCGTCACCTTTCACCTTTGCAGGCGGCCAGAAGGAAGCTCGTTCAAATGCCGGCATCCAAAAGTAGCTGGAATATTTTGGAATCACGCTACACGGTGATTACTACTACACTTTACTTGAGTAGTCCTCTCGAGTCGAAAAAGCATTTCAGAAATTTAGCTGAAATTTGTTGAGTTAGCATACATACTTTATGTGTATAATAGAAATAGGTCGAGTTTTATGGGAACAGCATAACTCATTGTGAGTCTTCCCTAACAGCAGGGAGATACGAATCTAGACTAGAGCCCCAGTCTCTAAAATTAACTCTACTTCGATTGGTTACCAGCACCCCTAGAGTTCATATCACTAAGGCCGCAAGTGAATGCGTGCTTGATTATTGGCAAATCGATCGGACGGGTGCTGGCTTTAGCGATTGCACCCGGGCACGCTATTTCCTGCTCTTCCACATCGCTGTGTGCACGCAATCGCTGCCTCTTTGCTATACCTTTTTGATCGACCCTGTTCAGCAACTGTTTTGTGCTACTTTCAGTATGTTTAAGGCGGTACCAAAGAAGATATTAAGGAGTCGTGTTAACTAAGCAGTTCATGGGGCCCTACGCTAAAATGCCGAGGATTCGAGGGAAAGTTACCGGTCCGATTCGTTATCGTCATGGGGTGGTTCCTCCCCGTCAAACGACGGCAGCGAGTCCTCTGCTGACGAAGTGGCCAGTTTACCGCCTATATCGCTATAAAACGGCCCTCAGGAGCCTGCGAAAGCCCTGTCGGCAGAAAAGCTCAACGTGCGAGATACTATGCGTACCTGAACAGTATGCTCTCAAATGCCACTAATTCATCTGACGGATCTTCTGAAAATTATGAGGCGTTTGCCGTTTGACGCACGGACGCTACTTGGAGGATGGGGGGCAAGATGTGCAGTAATAATAACGGCAATGGGCAGTGGTGAGTGCGCCCACCTAGGGCAATTACATGCCCCTTCCATTCATATCGTAGGCGATGGAGTAGTTGCTCATTTTGAAATTGATGGCCTACCCATGCATAATAAAACAAGGCGTAAATTTCGGCCGATTGCTTGTCGAATTGTGCAGCCATTGTTTAGTGAAAATTTTGTGGTAGGCATTTATTGCGGCTGTGGTAATCTCTCGGACACACGGGTGTATTGCAGGCTAGTAATTAGATTCAGTTCTGATTCTAGTCAGAATTGTTATTAAGGGGGTTCGAATTCGATGACTCCTTCGTTATCAGACACAAGGGTAATGCACAAAAACACCTAAACTTAAAACGTGCCAAACAAAAGATTTCGCGGTTGGCTGAAGTTTAAGTCAAGTTGGGTCTGCTGCACTCAGTTAAGTGGTGGGTATTGACCGTGCTGGCTTCTGTCTGACCTTGGTAAATTGATGTCACATCTAAAACGGAGTGTTCAATTGTACCGGATTCATCCGGTAATTATTACTGTGAAAAATCACGCCGGGACAGGAAATTATATTTTTAATCGCCAAAATGGATAAATCGAGGAAATGACTTAAAGCAGCATGGGATTCGAAAAATTTGGAAGACAATACGGTGAACATGGGCAGAAAGACGTACGCTTACGAGGGCCAACTAGCCTAATCGTAAATTACCAAAATACCTTACGCAGAAAATTAAAAGCCAGAACACCAGAGATGTGTCAATCAGTAGCTTAAAAAAACAAGCTAATGGAGGAAAACATAACGACAAACGCCACGGAGGAGTTAGATGACATTTGATAGGACGAAGAGAACATTTATATATTAACAGTATAAGTAACTTAGCAGCCATGATTAGTTTCGTCTCAGTCATCTCAGCATCTAGCTGTTCGCCTCATCCATCCATATGTATATGTATGTATATGTATATTGAAGGGTTACAGACAGAGCCCTTGATGACCCAATTTATGTATAGTGCTTTCGCAGATTCATACTCAAAAATAAAATAAAATTGCAGGCATTTAAAATTTGATTGGGTCACAGTTCAATCGTAATCATAAGGTAGTGCATGGAGTCACTGTAAATTAGTGCGGAAGATTGTATATGACAGATTTTACAAAACTGGCTGTGCATAGTCATGCTGTACAAGCCGATTTCTGTCGAAAACTAAACGAGCAAGTTTTCTTTTAAACACACAAACTGTGTCAGCCGTCACCATCTCGCTTGGAAGCGAGTTCCACGGTCTGACAACCCGCTGGCTGAATGAAAACTTTCGTCGGTCTAAATGTGTGCGCTCATTCCCGACTTTGTATGCATGGCCGCGTAGTTGATTTGTACGGGCGAACTCAAAGGAGTCCTCTGCTCTTCATGAGCAACCCTGGCCGCGAACAATCCGGAACGTCCAGAGTAGACTGAAGTTTATTTGTCTATAAGAGAGAGGGAATAGGCCAAGGAAATTCAGCCTCTCCTGATAAGACAAATGCTTTAGACCGTCGACCATCTTTGTCGCTCTGCGTTGCACCTGTTCGAGTAAGTTGATATCCTTTCTCATCCATGGTGAAGCTGCTGGCATTCCATACTCTAGATGAGGTCTTACAAAGACACCAAAGAGTCTTTCGAAAAGTTCGGGAGGAAATATTTTAAATGTACGTCTGATCCAGTGTAGAGTACTAGTTGCCTTCTGGACCATATTTCTGCAGTGTTTTGATGGCGATAGATTTGTGGTCGTCCACACACCCAGACCTCTGTGTCTTTCCACAGTTTCTAACCTCGTCCCGTCAATATAGTACTGGTGCTTGGGAGACGCATTGCGGCCGGTGTTCAGGTGCAAATCCACGCATTTGGACACGTTAAACTTCAAAAGCCATCTGTTCGACCAAGCACACAGTTTGTTGATGTTCAACTGCAACTTCTCTGCGTCATCGTCACACTTGACTTCACTCCATATTTTTATGTCATCCGCGAACATGAGAGCCTCGCAATTCACTTCGCTGATGCAGTCATTATCATTCAATTCAATTCAATTATTTTTATTAAAGACCCGTCGGGGTCCCATCAAAGCAAGTAAAAATAAATTTACATGCAAATTTTAGGGAAGAGTACTGGGCCTAAGACAGAACCCTGTGGGACACCACTTTCCACCTTTACCCATTTCGAGGTAGAATTACTAACGACTACTCTTTGTAGTCTGGAGGACAGAAAACTCCTGATCCACTTAAACATTCTCCCTTGAATCCCTACATCCCAGATCTTTTGTAAAAGAAGCCTGTTGGGACACTGTCAAAGGCCTTCTTGAAGTCAAAAAT